CTGAGGAGGGGGCTGAGGAGAGGCGATTCAGCTCCAGCACAAAGCGCAGTTTGAATTCTCATAACAAGGAGATACTGGTTCCTGTATAGTTAATTAATAATTAGAAACATTTTGACTTTTTGAAATGTTAAAATAGACACTATAGTTGCATGCAGTGGTGCACACCTGTAATCCCAGCCGCTTGGGAGGCTGAGGCAAGAGGATCGCAAGTTCAAAGCTAGCCTCAGCAACTGAGCGAGGCCCTAAGCAACTCAGTGAGACCCTATGTGTAAATAAAATTCAAAAGCCGGCTGGGGATGTTGCTCAGTGGTTACACATGTTGGGTTCAATCCCCAGTATTAAAAAAATACAATAAATCTATATAAACCCACATGGCTATAATCACTCAGAAACAAAAGAAAAAAGAAAAAATGGATGCAGGTAAATATTTAATATACTAATATGAAAATAAAATACCATTAATGTAATATTTAATATACCATTAAATTATACATACTTCTATTATTCAAGTAAAGATGCCAATAAATGAAATGTAAATCTGAAATTGTGCTATTGTTTCACAACTCTGTGGCTCTCTGTGATCATGGGGTATATATTCTATGGGGTGAATTTTATGGCATGTTATATATCTCTCTAGAGCAATGTTCATAATGAATGGCTCGGGTTCTCCTATAGGGTGAAGGGGTAACTTTATTTAAAACAGTCACAACATTTTCCAATTATCCTTGTAAAGAATTGCAATGGGGTTTTCAAGGTCCCAGCCATCCTTACTCACTAGCATGTTTTTTTCTGTCCTCCAAAGTATAGAAGCCAGGACCATGGCGTGAGGTAGAGGCTGCAGTCCGCCTCCCAGCTGGGGAGTCCCTGAGTGGGCAGAGTGGGCACCTCCTGCCAGTGGCAGCTCCACAGCCCAGAGCACAAGGGCAGTCCAGGCCCAGCCAGCCGTCAGAGCAGGACCAGGCCACCCCTCCTGCAACACAGCACACCTGGCACTTCACCAGCTTCTTCATCCATCAGCTCCTGTCTTTCCTTAACCACTCAAAGTAACGATGAAGGGGAAAATTCTGTTTATCGTCAGCTCCTTATAAATCATCAGCAAACAAATCATGTTAGAAACAAAGGGCAAAAGTCAAACTCAATAAGAGTACTCCACTTATTAAGTGTCTCTGGGACTGGGACCAGAGTTCCAGCAAACCAGCCCTGGAGGGCATCCCCTGCCAGG